AAAAAGTGGCGCCGGCCCTGGGTATTACGATAAATACAATTCCCTGCCTGGAAATCAGAAGTCCTGAGTCAGTTCCTTCAAGACATTTATACTGCCGAGAGGCATTACAACACATAGAAACACATAACAAAGTCAAACAAAACCTGCTCACCTGCTGGGTGGAGAAGCCCTGCAGCAACTAATGGCTTTAAAAATGACTTCATCCTCTTCATGTGCTCAGGTGAGGTCATCCATAACAAAGCACCTACAGCAAAAACAGATCAATGAAAGGAGTCAAGGATATGAGCATCTGCCCTAGATAAACATAAGCCCTGGTCTGACCTCAGGTACAACATAGTGTCATTGCTTGGGTTTGTCGACTGTATTTAGGATCTTGTCAGCATGAAGAATGCCTTTAGGGTACACGCTGTCTTTTTATTCAGGGAAATGTTGCCATATATCATTGGAATCTGTCTGTCATCTGCTGTCAGAAAGTACATGAGGTGATGAATGGTGCAATGACGGCAGCGTAAATCTTGTATTATGTCAGCTTCTTTAGAAGACTGGGTAGAAAGGAAATTGCTGCAGTAACTGTTGTTTTGCCACAATAAGAGCGCTAAACTGCAATTAAATCAGTCGCAAATGGGACAAGATATTAAAATTTAGTCAGGAAAGTTTCGTGTGCGTCCATAACTGGTTTTTCGTAAGTCATTTATTTAAAGTAAAAGCTAATGCTGCTCGCGCGCAACGGCGGCGAATACAGCGCGCGAGCACCGATGTCTGATTAATGAACAAACGACTCTTACGAACCGGTTCTTTTAAAGAGTCATTCAAAAAAGACTCGCGAAACAGCCTCGAACTCGATGGTGAGTTTAGTTCACTCAGTCAGTGAATCGGTAGAAATCGTTACTGAGTTTACATCTGGCTCCCTCATTGAACTGCGGCTGTATTTGGCCCAAGTGTTCAGACCATACATATAGGCTACTGTTGTTTAAACCCAGTGTTGGGCTTGTTACTCAAAGAATGTAATATAGTACTCATTAGATACTCCTTTCAAAAGTAGGCTAATATTGTTACTTTACTTATTACTTTCTGGCAACAGTAATTAGTTACACTACTAGTTACATTACTTTTTTCTTCACGCCCCACAGAAGTTGTAACTGTGTAGCCTGTCTTCCACATAAAATTCTTGATCTAGAATGTTACAAACAACATATTGCTGCCTCATCATTTGACCAAAATCTACATTGGATCGCAGTCAGAAGTTATTACAAACACTCAATAGTGATAGTGACATTCAAGTAGAAGTGTTGTATTAATCTCATTAATTATCATGTGTAGCTTGAAGCTAATTGTAACTTCTCCGTTACCCATATACGATTATATTTCATTATGTATTTTATCAAATCACATAAGTTTGTAAGAAACTGTTTAATTTTCCAAAAATATTTTTAATTATAGTATTATAATGTACCACATGCTGATCAGAGGGATGTGGGTGAGATGTAATTCCAGAGTAAAGTAAAGCCACAACTTGCACAACAGTGTTCAGATAATCTTTTTTCCTGACAAAATCAATATAATGCAATATTTCTGTCTGCTGAATGTAAACTTTTCCATATTCCAAGCTTGCATGCTGCACTGGGGACATCACATGCATGTGCGAGTCATGAAAATTATGAAAATAAATCTAGGAATTATTTGATCACTGCCCAACACTGTTTAAACCAATGAGAATTAAGTTGTGTCGCCAGTGTTGTTTCTCATCATGCCTTGTTCTGTGATGGTTCTGCACAGATTTTGCTCTCATTAGCTCTCATTTCATCTCATGAAATGAGAGCTAGCCTACTTCAAATTACTCTTCATATGAGAACGAGAATTTATAAATACATTTATAGATACAGATTCAGTTTGGTTATATTAATGAGTAGCCTAATGGTATTCTAAAAAACAAAACAAAAAACATTTATTAGTTATTTATATGAGATTGAGTTGTAAGGTTGAATCAACGTGTGACATGTTGAAACTATAATCACAACATTTATATTTGTATTTATAACATTTTATTTTGTTAGCTGTGTGAAGCACTGATGGCAATGTTACATGACCTGATTGACACAGGGTTCCTAATCTCTTAAGTATTACAGATTTCAGAGGAAATAATGAACGTATTACTGACAGCAGCACTCTGACAGAGAATGGAGAGGGGCCAAACCAGGATGGATTTCCCAGACGGCCCCTTTGCTGTCCAAAGCAAACACAGGTCCCACTGTCCCTGAGGTGTCAGGCTCAGTGTGTACAGTGAAGCTTCAGACACTAGAGCTCTTTCAGACTCTGTCAGACTGACACAGGAAGAGAGATGGCACAGACACAGACACAGATCATGCCAGATTTAGATCCTATTATACACAAGTTTTAATTAAGAAGTTGTTGATCTTGAAGCTTCAGCCTGGCATAAGTACATACAGTGGGTCTTTGTGAAGGTTAGGGACAGGGATATATTTTCTTCATATAATTAAAAAAAGATATGAGGATTTTTCACAGTGTCAGATACTGTTTCCTACATTAACCTATTATATCCGGATGGGTTTTTTTTCTTTTTGCAGTACATTTATTATCACAAAAGGATAATGCATGAAAGCAACCCTATGCAAAGTCAGAAAAATGGAAAGGGGGTAAGGAGTTTTTTCTTCTTCTAATTTTACGAGTCAACCATTCTGAAAATACTCTTTGATCATTCTTCTGCATATCTTGCCACAACGTCTCTGGTATTTTTCTTTCAAAGGGTTCTCTTTTGAAGAAAGTGTTTGAAGAGAGAACTGAGGCATAGTAGGCATCCTTGATAAGACAAAGACTGAATCCTACCTACATCACAAGCCAGTGTTCCCGGTACACAGTCAAATCTTTCATCACAACATAACTAGAGCATCTGAAGACTGAGCCATCAAAGCTAACAAACTCATCTAGTGTTCATTTCACACTGAAGAGATGGCCTTTATTCTTATGTTCAAATTAATGGTTAAATACAAATATGGATCCTTCGCACAGTTGATATGTTTATGCTTTGAATAATCAAAAACTAGTTTAATAATAAAAACTACTACTTACTAAAAATATAATGCTTAAACAATGATTAAACACAAATATATTATAATATTTTTTTGCACAGTTGATATTTCTGAATAATCAAAAACTAGTTTAATAAAACTACTAACTAAAAAAATCATGCCATAATAATAGAAAAAACTTTAAAATATACACAATAATAATAATAATAACAAACTGAATTATACAAAAATGCTATTAATTCAGAGCTTCAAGCACTTCTTTAAGAAGACTAAACAACAATCTTAGCAGAACCCTTATTGTTGTCTTAATTTGTTGTCCTGGTTAAGTAGATTTTTTAATCACAATGGTGTCTATCATTAAAAACTATACTTACCATGTTGGAAAAAAGTATAAAGTACATCTAATCCCATGTAATGTATGGACTTTGGACATATTTTTGCTGTTAGATATTTTATAATATTAAGATATTTTTTGTTCCAATAGTACAGACACATATAAGTGTGTTTGGAACAGTATCCAGTCCGTTTCCTTCAAAGCATCAAAGGCTCTGCTTGAGAGGACCCTGTAGGCTTCCTGTATGCTCTGATAATCAAGTTAGAGCACTAAGCTAACCTATCTGCTTCCTGATTTTAATTAGAACGGATGAAAGCAGCCCTGCCTGCAAGATTTACACACACAGCTCTATCAAAGGCCACTTTGTACTGAGCACACTACACAACAAAGAAGGGCAAAGCCTCAAAGCCAAGAAGCAGACCTCTGCTGCCCTAAGACTAATCCTGTCATAAGGAGTCTTCTTACAATATCGTATTGTTTTGGATTAGGGGGAAAACCAGATTTGGGGTTTTAGAGTAGACCAGAAACTATGTTCAAAATCTAATTAAAATGATTTTAGCTTTGTAAGGGTTTTTAAGAGCTGGTGTATAATAAAAAGCTATCTCGTGCTATTGTTTAACAGTAATAGACGAATGGTGAAAATCAAAAAGACAGTCTTTGTAGGAAAGTATATGGCAAGTGGCACTAATGAAGACATGCTGCTACAAAGATCTTGACTTTTTCTATCACACTTTAGTATATGAAATTCATTATGACATCAGACACAAGAGTAGAGTAGATTTTCTGAAAGTTAAACAGTTGTTGGACAGGTAAACTGGTTGTCATTACATCATCTGTTTTGTTTCTTAATGCAGATCACTGCTAAATGTCAAAAATGAATAGGATAAGAGATACCTAATATAAAATCACGTAAATTATTCAGAATATTAGGGATTCACTAACTTTGAAATTCTGGCCAATACCAATAAAACAATACATATTTTTCATGCTTTGGCTGATAACTAGTAAATGGATTATTAAAAACAAAAACAAAATCACTCTTCAAAAGAAAGTACTTTTAAATGGATATATCTTTGCCATAATCTCTAACAATCCCTTGAAATTGCTAGATGATGATCTAAACTAAATAGGCAGAAATAATATAATTATAGAGTAGAGTAGATTTTCTGAAAGTTAAACAGTTGTTGGACAGGTAAACTGGTTGTCATTACATCATCTGTTTTGTTTCTTAATGCAGATCACTGCTAAATGTCAAAAATGAATAGGATAAGAGATACCTAATATAAAATCACGTAAATTATTCAGAATATTAGGGATTCACTAACTTTGAAATTCTGGCCAATACCAATAAAACAATACATATTTTTCATGCTTTGGCTGATAACTAGTAAATGGATTATTAAAAACAAAAACAAAATCACTCTTCAAAAGAAAGTACTTTTAAATGGATATATCTTTGCCATAATCTCTAACAATCCCTTGAAATTGCTAGATGATGATCTAATCATCGTATTAGCTGATATTGGATAAGGTGCCAATACACAGTAAATCCCTACAAAGCAAAGCTTTCAAAACTCTTTTAATACAAAAACAAAACAGCAGATTAATCACGTTTGTTTCTTTGAAATGTCTGATTTATTTGAAGTCACAATTAAAGCAGTCAAGTGTACAGATGTGGACAGTCAGTCATGGAAACTGCCTGTACTGATCATTTCCAGCAAAAATAGTCGTTCTTCGCTGGCTGTATTAGTTTAACAGCTAGACACATATCATAAACATTTTGGAGTCTATGAGAAAGGGCTTTAGGTCATTTTTCCGCGAGAGGGAAAAGGTTCAGCACCCTTAAAGTGCATCCTCCTGAATGTACAGCGAGAACATGAAGAGTATGTGGTAATTGTCCTTGAGGACGGTGTCCTTCAGTCAGTGCGCGCCCTTCTGGACCATCTGCGTAAAGCGGTTGGTGATGGTGAGCGTCGTGTCGATGAAACGCTCCACGCAGCTAACGAGACAAATCTCCGTTCGCGAGTCCAGCTTGGAGCTCGGTTTGTCCACGCACTTATCCCAGCAAACATCCGTAAAGTTGTGAACCTGAGTAGAACGTTAAACACGGTTAAAACCCAACAGGCTTGCTAACTGGTTTTGAATGACAGCACAGCGGTACTGAAGTTACCCACCTGCGCTTGAAACTGAGCCTTTTGCTGCTCCACCGCGATCAGACGCTGGAGCTCCGCAGCCTCGGCGTTCTCAGATAAACTAGCCGACGGCATATCAAAGCTGGAACTAAAATCAGCCATGGCGAAGCTTTATAGAAACTGATTATATGTGCAGGATAAAGCGCCGGCGCTCGCTGACAGGCATGGACGTGAAAGCAACTACTTCCGCCGCAAAAATATGACGTCATGACAAGGCTCATCGAGGTTTGTCAAAAGGCTTGTTCCCTGATTAGAATGAAAAAAAAGGAAAGCACCAGGTATAGATGGGTTGACAGTAGAATTTTACATTTTTGGGAACTGATCGAAATTCCTCTTTATAATATGTATAATGAATGTATTAACAGTGGCGAAATGACTACTACTATGAAACAAGGTGTCATTTCGTTAATTGCCAAACTGGATAAAGATTCACACTTGAGAGAAAATTGGAGACCAATCTCTCTTCTAACAATTGATAATAAATTAATTACTTTAGTATTTGCTAATAGATTACGAGAAGGTTTAAATAAAATTATTAGTGAATACCAATCAGGTTTTTTAAAAGGTCGACACATAACTAACAATATTAGACTTGTGCTTGACCTTTTGGATTATGCTGAGAATGTTGATGAAGGAGCCGTTATTTTCTTTCTGGACTTTTATAAAGCGTTCGATACAATTGAACATGAATTCTTATTTAAAACCTTACATTCGGAAATACATTTTTGAATGTAGTTAAAAATGTTTTACAATAATATTAATAGGTCTGTAATACTTAACACTTCCACCTCTAAAAGATGTAACATTAACCGTGGAGTACGTCAAGGTTGTCCAATTTCCCCCTTTTTATTTTTGTTGGTAGTTGAATTATTATCCATTGGGATTGTTAATAATGAACAAATTCAAGGTCTCCAAATTTTTGGTAATGAAATTAAAATATCACAATTGGCGGATGACACAACCTTATTTTTAAAGAGCTTATCTTTTATTCTCAATGCTATCTCCTTCATCAATATTTTCTCTAAGGCTTCTGGCTTAACTCTAAATTTATCCAAATGTGAAATCCTCCCTTTACACAATTTAAATGATTTAAGTTATTGATAATATTCCAGTGAAACCCTCTGTCAAATACCTAGGAATTCTTGTAACAAAGGATGTTACAGAAAGACAAAACTTAAATTTCTCCTCTAGATTAAAAAAGACAAAAGCGTTATTAAACTGTTGGTTACAACGTGATCTCTCTGTTTATGGTCGTGTCCTATTATCTAAAGCAGAAGGCTTATCTCGATTTGTCTATCCCTCCCTATCTCTGTATGTTAAAGATTCTTATTGTAAAGATATCAATAATTTGTTTTATTCTTTTATTTGGAAAAACAAATCCCAAAGACTTAAGAAAAGGGTTCTTACTAATAAGAAAGCTGAAGGGGATCTGGAAATACTTTATTTTGAAGATGTTAATAGAACTTTTAATTAAATCAATAATTTCAAGATACTCTGATATTGATGATTTATGCTCCTTTTGTAAAAATGAGAAAGAGGTGTTATCACATTTATTTTTTGATTGTAAAATTACCCAAAATTTTTGGAAGGAATTGGCAGAATTAAATTTTAATCTAGTAAAGGATAAATACTGTTTTTCTTTAAAGGATATTATTGTGTACTATGAAAACAATGTTAACAAAGGTCTTGAATACATTGTTAATTTATTCATATCACTGGCAAAATTTTATATACATAAACAAAAATGCTTAAATTCATCCCCAATATTTAAGGTATTTTTAGTGGAATTTGATTGTTTTATATCTTCTCTGAAATTGTTAAAAAACAAAAAGTCATTAACATGTTTAAAATATTATGACATTATTTTCAGTGCCCGTTACTAATTAATGTCACACTTTGTATAGCACTGACGGTCTTATGCTATGCTCTGTTTGTTATTTGTTCTATTTTCATTAATAAAAAAAATTAAAAAAAATAAAAAATAAACAAAAGGCTTGTTCGACTTCATGCGCTGCCCATAGACTGTAAAAGGCACAGGGATGATCACTTCCATTTGGAATTTGCCCCGTGAACCCTACACAACTCACAGATCAAATGCCTGCTGTATGCAGATGATCTGGTTCTGCTGTCTCCCACTCAACATGGTTTACAGCAGAACCTGGACCTGCTACAGCAATACTGCCAGACCTGGCCCGACAGTCAACCTGAATAAAACCAAAATTATGATATTTCAGAAAAGATCCAGATCCCAGGGAACACAACACACATTTACATTAGGCACTAACCAGATAACACAGACACACTACAACTACCTGGGTTTGAAAAGCACATCCACAGGAAACTTTATTCATGCTGTGAAAGAACTGAGATAAAGCACGCAGGGCCGTCTACGCCATAAAACGACAATGTCCTATAGAAATCCCTATTAGAATTTGGCTGAAAATATTAGAATTAGTAATTGAGCCCCTTGCCCTCTATGGCAGTGAGGTGTGGGGTCCACTGACAAATCCAAATCAAGATTTCACCAAATGGGGAAAACATCCAACTGAGACCCTGCATGCAGAACTCTAAAAATATATTACACGTGCACCGGCACACAACAAATAATGCATGCAGGGCAGAATTAGGCAAATATCCTCTTATCATAAAGATACAAAAAAAGGGCAATTAAATTCTGGAAACAATTGAAACTCAGTAACCCCCAATCATATCATTATAAAGCCCTGCAATACCAGAAGATGAGCAAAGAAAGTCCCTCCCTCAGCTGATCCAGAGCTTCAGTCCTGATGCTACAATAACATCTACTGATGCTCTGAATCACAACAACACTAACAACATCAGAATCAATCAGATTACTGCACAAATCAAACAGAATTACATCACTCATTGGCAAACCCAGTGGTGTATAGAGTACCTGAAAGCCATACTCAAGTAAAAGTACAGATAGATATCTTACCAGAAAATGACTTTGGTAGAAGTTGAAGTCACCGATTAGAATATTACTTGAGTAAAAGTCTTAAAGTATGTGATATTTACTGTACTTAAGTACAAAAAGTATTTTTTTAAACCTTAAACATACTTAAAAGTACAAGTAAATGCAAAATGGAAAAGAAGCAAATAAATATATATAAAAAATGTTCATACAAAGCTTGAGTGGCAAGATTGTGTTCAGTTTTACCTCTTTCTTCCATTTTGTATTTGTGGGTAAGAATAAGAAGCACTTCATCCGGTACTTAGTGTCATTCCAACATAAGAAAACATTTCTGGAATCTGCATCTGAAATAGTATTTAGATGTTTTTACACAGTTTATGTATCTCAAAGGGGACATTGATGCATTTAATCTGCAGTTACAGATGGATAAATACTGTTTTGTTTTTAACATAAAACGTTGAATACTGATATTTGAAATAATTTAAAACATGAACAAAATAGTCGAAATGTTAAATTAAAACCGCCAGTAGGTGGCAGCAAGTGACTGTTAATGAGTGAGTCATTGAGATTCAACCGATTCATTCAAACAACTGATTCATTCAGAAACAAAGCATTTGACTGCGTTAACGAGTGAATCACTGAATCATTTATTCAACCGATTTGTTCAAAAAGCTGATTAATTCAATAAGTAAGCACCGTCCATTGCTCAGAGACGCAAAACAGTGCTGTGGTCTTTAGAACCATTTTCGTTAACAAGCAATATTATGTCTAAAATGTAAGTCACTTATTGCTTTGCTGAACTTGTATAAAATGATTATTAAATGTGTTCATGCTGATATTTGCAGAAAAACGGTAGGCTACTCTTTGTGTGATATAGATTAAGTTAACTATATTCAATTATATAAACATAAAAAACATACAGAAGCATTTTTGCCGTCTACAATTTAGAATGCCTTGAATTTTGAGTTTTAATAGACTAATAAATCACGTGCGTGCACTCTGTGTGATATACTTGATAATGTCAGATCGCACATCATTACAACACTTACCATATTATCGCAGACGATAGTGTGTGACAACTTGAGTTTCCAACTTGAGTGGAAAATGAATCATCCGCGGTTGTGTGTGCGCTTGTTTGCACATGATCAAAGGTGTTTTTTAGGAGTCTAACTTGCAGACGGCAGACCACTGATTCGTCAAACCTGCTTTCCTGCAGTCCGTGTTCTTCTGACTTCTGACTATTTTTTAGTAAGTAACGAATATGCTTCGGGTAAATGTATCGGAGAAAAAGTATACATTTTAATTAGGAAATGTAGTGGCGTAAAAGTAAAAGTTGGCTGAAATATAAAAACTCAAGTAAAGTACAGATACTCCCAAAAAATACTTAAGTACTGTAACAAAGTATTATTACTTCGTTACAATACACCACTGGGCAAACCCAAACACAACAGCAGAGTAAAGTGCAATGCTATTTAGCCCTAAAGAGAGAGTACAGTATGGCAGAGTATCTGTACACAGTGTCAGATAAGAAACTGAGAAGCATGTTGACCAGATACAGACTCAGCGGACACAAGCTGATGATAGAGACGGGCAGACACAGAAAAACACAGCTGCCACCGGAGCAGAGACTGTGTTCACACTCTGATCTGAATCAGATGGAAACAGAACTGCACTTCCTAGAATACACGGATATACAGAGAGGGTTCTATGATAAAACACACCAGATCCATCAGACATTTAAAACTCTTTCAAACCAGGAGAAAGTGCCGTATCTGTTAGGAGAACAGAAGACCTGCTGTGTGTTTGCTGCTTTGTGTTTGCTATTTTTATATATTGTGTTTTGCTATTGCTATTGTGATTTTAGACACACCTGCTGTGTGTTTGCTATGTGTCTGCCTGTCACCACAGAAGAGAAAACACTCAACCTGCCCTGATCTGATGTTTCCAGCACATCTACATTATATTATGCCATATTACTGTATTATATTATTTAGATGTATATTTTGCTTCTCTAAATCTGTCTAATCCCTTGTCCTATTTTATTTTTAGTTTACATATATATTAGTAATTCATTTTGCACTACATGCTTAATAATTTTGATATATTATTACTATTATTATTATTATATATTTTTTCTTTCTGTTAATACATATGTGCACTATTTGTAAGCAGCCCAGCTGCAATTGCTTTGGCAATACAAAGTAGGTTTTGTCATGCCAATAAAGCACACTTAAATTGAAAAAAAAAAATGTAAATTGAGAGACCTTCTTCATATTAAGTATATAATTATTTTATTACTATTCCTTCCTAAATGTTACATTCAAGATAATATGCATTTTTATGTATTGTAACCCTCTTAGAACGTTTTGTTGATTGACTTTAACTCTGGTGGTTGCCTACTCTACCCCAGAGCGATAGATGGCGTTATCGAGCAATTATAGTGAAACAACAGACTCATGAGAGAATGACCCACTGGTGCAGAAAACAGCTGCCTTACCATCATAATTATATGAATCTGATCTGACCTTGTAGTTAAACAGTCATGGCGAGCTTGATTTTTTTAAGCACTTTCTGCCAAAGGGGAATAAGACGTAAGTAATCATTTTAGTGTTTTATCCGGACGACTGAATGAATATGAGAGTTATGATATTACACAATATGGCACAGATTTATTTATAATCATTACATAAATGTTAGCCACTGAACATTTGTATGACGTCTTACGATATTTGTACGATGTATTGTTTTTGGTTACACTTTATTTTAAGGTGTCCTTGTCCAGTGTAATTATACATTTAAATACTGAGAAATATTAAAGTTAATATTTCTGTATTTATGTAGATCTACATGTACTTACTATATGGTTAGGGTTTGGCTTAGGGTTACTTTCATGTAATATAACATAATTTATTGTTATTACAATAGTAAGTATGTGCAATGTGTAAAAACGAGGACACCTTACAATAAAGTGTTACAGTGTTTTTTTATGTAATATTTTATACCATGTACAGCTGTGCTTCTCTGCCACACACACCTGTCTCGTGGGTTGGTTGCCTATCAGAAGAATCGAGATATAGAGGCTTTCCATTTGGCAGCAGGGAGGATCCACACAACTTCAGCACACTGCAGTGAGCGATGACACTAATCATTGTTAAGAATGTATTTAGACTTTTTCCATGATCACTCTCTTCTCCATTTATAATGCTGCAAAAGCGGTGCTACATTAACAATGAACTGTTGTTGAAACATTGCCCTTTCAGAAAAAAATATTCCACATGATTTTAATACATTTTAACACATTTACATTGAACCAAAGGATATTTTATGTTTTATAAAATTAAGATTTTAGACAATTTAGAACTCAGTTTTACTATTTAAATAATCAAAAATGAAGTGTCTGTTTGCAGGCAACATTAGTAGTCAGTATTAGTACTATAAAAATGACAATCGAATTTCCTTTTTTGCAAAAACACTGTTTCATAAACTCTCTTACTTTGCATACACAACGGTTGTTAGCAAAATGAAAATTTCTATTTGTTTTTTAGCAGTCTCAAATTCACGAGCAGCCTCCAAGCACTGGACTGGTGAACGGGTATTGAGTATAGTTCTGTTAGGTATGGCTCCAGCTGCATACCTGTGTCCCAGTCCGCTACTGGATTACTCTCTTGCTGCGGCTCTCACACTGCACGGACACTGGTAAGAGTGTGTGTATCTGTCACTCGTGTACATCTGAAGAGCCCTGCTTAATGCTTGGTGTATAGGTTGTTTTACTGAAAGTGGATTTTAGATACCTCAATCATCAGTGAGGTTATGCAATATTTCAATTGTCCCACAAGCACTATTTGTATTCTATTTTTAGTTCAATCTTTTATTTCTGTGTTTTTCTTCTGCAGGGGGATTGGTCAAGTCCTAACAGACTATGTCCACGGTGATGCTAAGGTCAAGCTGGCTAAAGCTGGTGTCTTGTTGCTCTCCACAGCCACGTTCTTTGGTCTCTGCTATTTCAATTATCATGATGTTGGTCTCTGCAAGGCAGTCACCATGCTCTGGCAAATATGATTATATGGCCAGAATTAAACTGACTGGTTTGAAGGATTAATCACCATTTTAGGTACTTGAGGTAGTTTTAAAAGGTACCTATCTTCAACTTAACAAATGACAATATACCGTCTCCTAACATATGTTACATGTTTAAATAATATTTGTCATAGTGATATTTCACACAAACTTTTGGATTGTTGGCTAAATGAAGAGCAATGTCTGTTGATGGCCTGTAGGCTATTTACTGAGCATTCCAGATGACTATTAGTACTGTATATGAGAACAAGGGAGGTCTCTATGTGTAAGAGACTATGTTCAGGAACTGTTAGTATTTATTATTTCAGCAGTTACAGTCAATGTCCAGCAGAGGTCAGTGCTTTTCAGTTTTATTGGGAATGCTTGATCATATTCACAATGTCTGCAGGTCACATCTGTGTTTACAATATGCTTTAAAACCAACAAATTTACTTGAATACACTTGCGTATTTGTTTTATTTGAAGCATGATAATGTTATCTTCTTAATAATATTATTACTTAGCACCAGCACCTGAGGCTTTAATATGGAACCATTCATAGATTGCATGTTTCACAAGAAGTTTGTTTTGTATGTTTGATTTGAATGTAGATGGGCACCTCTCTGAAACACCAGTGAGACCTTGATCTCTTCACAGAATTCAAATAAAGGCTAAATAATGATTCCAGACTGTTGTGGACACATTATTTATTTATTTTGACTACTGCATTTCGTAGTCAAAGTTCTCTAGTTATTTTGAACACATTTAACAAGGAACCACATATAAACCTGTGAAACACTGGTTAAGGTGTAATTTTAATTTTACTGGCTTTGATTCTCCACTGCATAGATAAACATTTTTTGGTAATGTTGTAATTTATGTAAGTTATGCCATGATCAAAACATAGCATGCTGCCTGTAGGACTTTTCTTATTTATTAAAAAAAAGAGCAAAAATGAAGCCAAATCCCAATTATTCAGCTGATTGCTGTAGAATAAGAGTGAAGTATAGTTCTTCCAGAGGTATGATATTATATATTACAAAGGAAATGACAGTAACACGGTCAGTCGACAACAGTCGTAGACCTACAGAAACCACAAAGAGTAACAAAAAATAACAGATAATAGCACTAAAGTACTTAGACCTGTTAAATCTATGATAGAGTGTATGAATTAGTATTAACAGCAATCACCAAGTCAAATGTCTCGTAAAATTAATCTTACCTGGCTGCAAAAAAAAAAAAGATTAAATCTACTTATAATTAAATAGGCTACTTATAATCAGGGCTCGACATTAAGCCTTTGCATGTGCTTGGTCAAGTAAATAGGTCATTCACTTGTACAAGTAAAAAACGTATTTGTCCAGAAAGAAAAAAAGATTTTATGTGTGTGTGTGTGTGTGTGTGGTGTAAATGTTATTTATTCTGATGCAAAATTCTCATGAGTGTTCTATCAGCTGGCTATTAGTAATATTTCCCCCCTTAAGGGCATTTTTTGCTTTTATACAAAGCAATTTTTTCTTATCCTTATTAAATGAATGTGTCATCTTTAATATCAATTTTTTACATTTTATCATTAAAACTAGTTGGAATAATAAGAAATGGAATAATACGAACTTTTGGTGTTGCTTATCATGTATTGTAAAAACAAAATAAAAAATGTTCAGTTTATTATTAATTATCAATCGCCGTTTACACTGAATGTAATAAAATCAGGATCATTCTTTGACCAATTTTCTGTATTTAACTATTATTTTTATTATTATTGATGATGATGATATTCCTTTCCCGCAAGAAAAATTCGTGCCCCTTCAACAATTCCACGCTTAAGGTGACTTAATCAGGTTAAGTAGCCTAATAAACATGTCTAAACTCAGTATACACCTTCCTGATGTTGCAAAGTATAAAGGCAAGCAGCTGTGGCCAGAATAAGAACGCAACACGCTAAAATGCAAGCGTTAAGTGTTTTATATGGAAGAAAAACCCTTAACGTGAAAGTTTGCGCGTTGCGTGATATTCTGGCCACACCTGTACATAACTTAGTTCAATCAATGTATTAAGAAACTACACCCAATTTGGTCTTTTAATGTCACTTTCTTAATACATTAAGCCACGTTAAGCGTTTTATTTAGGTATAACGGTTTCTGAGGAAAACGCTTAACGTGAATCTTGCGTGCGTTCCGTTCATATTTTGGGCTCATTTGGGTTTATAAAGGTATAAAGATATATTATAGATAGAGACATATATCTTTTCATTACGAACTATGGACTTAATAAGAATGTTGTGCATAGAAACACTTTAAAGTCACTCAAAACAATGAATCGGTTGAGGGTATACGAAGACAGTAGGACCAAGCATGACGTTAACCCATAACCAGGAAGTTGATCAGGGGTAAAGTGTACGTAACGTGGGTCACAGTAGCCTACTCCGCGCGAGTGTAGAATTTAACCTACTGTATTCTCTTGTACATTACTTGTTTTAGTTAATCATGTCAACAAGTGTGCTTAAAAATGCATTTAGGACCAGCAAAGGTAAGCTTTTACTACTGATGATCTCTGCATCTTATCATAACTTTGTTTTTACCCCCTTCTGATTTAGCCAAGAGCTGTGACATTTACTGTAGCATGTATTGGCAAATAAACTGAATCTGAAATACAGACGAACAATGTTAATGTGAAGCCATTTTCTCAAAATTATATAAAATGTAACTGTTTAAAGTGCATTTTGTTGTGTTTCACAACGCCTTGTTGTCTGTTCAGTTGCTATTTGTTTCAGCCTTGCTATTGCACATTATATCCCAGCCAGCACCACACTGCCCTCCCCTCTGCTGTGTCATGTAATCATGTGTGATGTAACAGGGTTGGCAAGAGATCCGACTTACATAAAAGGGACTTGTCTCCTCCCATCTGCGTGCACATAGTTTTTATTGCTCTTTACAATTTGTCATAAACTCTTCTTCATCCTCTGTTCTGATCAAGGGTGCAGCCTCACATCTCTCTACAGGATGTCCTGCATAAAGCCTCAAACAATTGGTAAGAATCTGGGCGCTCTTCTGCACTAATGCACATCTGCGAGTTTCACTTTCTGTTGTATGTTACGGCGCAGATTTCATATGTGTTTGTGTGAAGCAATGCAGTGTATGAAAGCACATGTCTGTGTTTAAAAGCAGCTGCTGTATTCATATGAGAGAGGGTGAGATATACTTTGACTCCAATGGCTTTTGAATGTTATCATAGGTTTAAATTTAGCAGCTTACTTATAACTGAATTTAACTCCTTTTGAATTGTATGTCACAAGTTTGACTTTTCTGAAAGATCCCTGTATGTCTATGTAGTTACTTCATTATTTATGCATTAGTGTATCACAGTACATGTGAATGTGTAGAGAGGAGAGGGATTGTTTTTCTAAAGATAGTGCTTCTCTTTGTAACATCGCTGACTCTCTGCCATTTCAGCTCTGTCATTTGTTAACTCTAATCCTTTACTTTGTTCTTTCAGCTGACATAAATGATGGAGCAGAGTAGTATGTCTGCAAATCTGTGATTTACTACAGCTATATAATTTAATATAACTCAGGGTTAGCTAACCTTGCAGTTTAGGACCTCTATATAAAAGTGTCAGCAACACTTTAGAATAAGGTCCCATTTGATAACATTAGTAAATGGATTAGCTAACCTGAAACGACAATCAGAAATATATTTTTAAAGTGTTTATTAATCTTTATTCATGCTAGTAAAAAATATCGGTTCAAACTTGATTATACATTGTCTATATATACATGTTATATACACGATGAATGATATCATTATTGTCATTTACGTACGTTGATTTGTACGTACTAAACCCTAAAACAAACCATAATTCTAACCATAACCCTAAGTACATGTTGTGCCTAGAACTTGTTCATTATTTCTTAGTTCACAGTGCATTAACTAATGTTAACAATGACTTTTAATTTGAAAATGTATTGGTAAATGTTGAAAATTACCTATACATGCTGTAGAAGTCTTGTTTATTGTTAGTTCATGTTAACTAATGTAGTTAACTGATGTTAACAAATGAAACCTTATTGTAAAACATTACCAAAGTGACAATACTCAAAACGCCATTTTATTACCATTATCATAATTTCAGAACATTTGTATTTACAAGTGCATCTTTATAACATTATTCTGATTATTCTTCTGATTAACAGATTTTGATCTGTCAACTTGCCAAGCAATCAGATTTGGTACATCACGCAAATCACAATTTGCTGTCTGAATTTTTACAGCTGCTGCTCAGAAAACATACTTCACAAAAGTACATGAGCTGCCAAACATCTCCCCCTTGGTAAGTTCGGTAGAGGAGACACCTGAGCCCATCCCCACCACAGTCAAAGGCACCATCCCAACCTGGATCCATGGGAGTCTGCTGCGGAATGGTCCAGGAAAATTTGAGTTTGGGAATCAGCAGTGAGTGCAAACATTCAACTGTCAATATAGTGATTTTGTGATCTTAATAGAATCACTAGAATGTGAAGAATAGTAACTAAATACATTTTATAATCTCTGTTTCTTGCGATTAGTAATTGGCTGTAAAACTAATGACATATAGAAAGGTACAATTAATCATTTGGTATTTACAGTGGTAGAGGTAGTAGACAAAGTAGGCACAACCATGACAACCTTTCACAGAAGACTATTATTCACAATACTATGTCATTCAAACTCTAACATGAATATTCAGGCTGACTCATGCCGATGTTAATGTTTCCTCAGCTATAACCACTGGTTTGATGGCATGGCCTTGATGCATCGCTTTCAGATTGAGGATGGTCAGGTGATGTACAGAAGCCGTTTTTTGCGCAGCGATTCATATAAGCAGAACAGCGAGAGGAACCGCATCATAGTGTCAGAGTTTGGCACTTTGGCTCTACCTGATCCCTGCAAGAACTTCTTTCAGCGCTTCCTGTCCAGATTTGAGATGATAAGTACGTCGAAATTGTGATTATGTGTGTGAATGACAGTAAGGAAGTTTACTTGCTGTGCTATCTGCCATGGCAAAATGGATCTCAGTAGGTTTAGAAAATTCAAACATCAGCAATGGCTGATTTAAAAATGTTACAAAAAGCTCTTTCTGTTTTCTGAAAGAGTAATGAGGCATGTCTCTGGAGGGCCTTGCTCAAGAGCATAACAGGAGTGGTCAGTGGAATTGTCCAAGTGTGTCTAAAGTCATCTTAGACAAACAGCTGTATGTCTGTAATCACGAGAATACTTTTAAATCAGACACCACAAGCTCTCAATTAAGATTAAATAAAGTGACACTACTACTAAAGTGTTGAGATGGCGTTGGCAGAGAGTTCTGGACACTACAACTGAGGCAATTATACAGTAACACATGGGTGTTTTAAAAGGATAAAACTGCACAACCATCTTTAGGATCAATGCCCTGTCAGTATGGTGGAAGTGTGACTTCATGCAACAATAAAATTTGCATTTGGATTTGTGGGTTACACAACTGAAATCAATTTCATTATTTAAAGTGGTTCTCATCCAGGGAGCCTCAGCAAACTTCCAAAGAGGCTGACTTAAAAGTATTTAAATAGTAAATTATTATTTATGATATAATCTAACGTATACTCTAATCTAAATTCAACTGGTAAAAACACATAAAATGAGGTTTAAAGGGGTCATATGATGTTGCTAAAAAGAACATTATT